TGTGCCGGCCCCCCCCGCTCCTCGGGTCCCCCCACGCCTCGCTGGGTACGGCCCCCCCGGCGCCTCGGGTCCCCCCACACCTCGCTGGGTACGGCCCCCCGGGTCCCCCTTGCACCTCGCTGGGTAGGGTTAGGGGTCGGGTCACTGGTGCCTCTGACCCGTATTACTTAGGAATCCTCCGTGGACTTTACTCAAGCCAAACTGTGAGATGGTTTCTCTCCTCCTTCCTCAGCTTCTGTCTTCTTCGCATCGGCTCCCTTGCCTCCACACAGGGCAAGCGCCTGCTCCTTTAGCAGCTACCGTCCCAAGGGCCCCAAGCGCCTCCCCAGCTCATCTCTCGCTGGTGCAGCCCTCTCCGCCCTTCCCGCCCTGCTGCCCTTCCCAATGGCGTCCCGCACAGCTCCGAGGGCACGGCTCACAGGAAGGTGCTGTGCAAAGCAAGACCCTGGTCCTACACATCCAGAGAGGCTGCCCTTACGGCTCAGCCCCTGCAAAGCCCCAGCTGGCAACTACTATTCCATGGAGTCCTGGGGCCCCCAGAGCTCAGCAAGGCAGCCGAGACACTGGCCACGGAGCAGAGACGGAACCAGAGTTCTCCAGCGTCTACACCTGGTTCCAGGCTCACCAGGAGGGCAGGAAATCTGTCTCTAGCTGGACCCAACGCACCTGCCGCTACGAGGCCCCCAATGCTCCCCAGAGATGGGACCCCAAGGCTCACCAGGGCACGACAGCTCCTGCAGCCCTTTGGGCGTCACACGGCAGCAGCCACGCAGGTCCAGCACCCGCAGCCTGGGGGAGGCCTGCAAGATTTTCTGCAGGATACTGTCAGTGACGAAGGAATAGGAGGTGGTGGCCAGGCACAGCTCCTCCAGCTGGGGGAAGCCCAGAGAGGTGGGGGCAGACCTGGGGCTTGGCTTCGGGGACCAGATCACATTAAGCAGGCGCAGCACCTGGAAGGGAAACAGACGTGGGGTAGGGACGATCCACCCACCCCGAGACAACAGCCTCCGAGCCAGTCCCGTCAGCCAACTGTGGTGACCACCGGCAGGCGCGACCCCGGGCCTGCTCCACTCGGGGCTTTCACAGGCAGCTTCTGGCTCATGAATACTACAAATCCCAGCATGCAATGCAGCCAGACACACTGCATGCTGGGAACAGTAGTACCCTTGGACTACAACTCCACAACAGGTGCGGTTCCACGTACATACACGTGCCCATCACAGGGATACGAGGCACAGAAAGATTAAAACAACCGGTGCAGAGTAACCCTGCCTCCTCCCCTCCCAGCAGGGGGAACAAACTGATCCTGCTCTGTGCCCCAGATCACAGTGGGAGAAGTGACCCGACACGGCTGCTCACGCTCTCCCAGACACGAACCAGAGCCCTGGAGGCGCAGAGCAAGGCCCCAGCGTTTGGCAATCAGGAGCCAGGGCCTGCCGGAGCAGGGTAAGGTGCCGAGGCGGCTCACAAGTCCCAGAGCGTGGTGTGCCCTGGATCTGACCAGCCACCCCCCC